CCGGTGAGAAAACTTTATAGTACAGTTAGTAAAAGTACTACAATACAAGGAAGGAAGATCGGGTTGTTGATGTTTGTCTGACATCCTCGCTCTGTCTGCACAGCGTGCGTGAACGCGCTGATGATGTATCCTGTCCGCGCGAACAGGGTGCGCAGAGGTATGCGAATACATACGTTGATAGGCAGGTAAGAAAGCATATTAAAACGCTCGGACCGAGTATTCTTGGTCCTACGCTTCCACAGAATGTATAAATACAGATAAATACATTTAGACCACTTAACTTAATGATTGCTATCGGGATGTGAAGAGACTTTCAACCAGCATAACAAAAAATGTTTCTGAAGACAATCACCTATTGAACCTTTAAGTATATTTATAATCCATTGCTAATCGACATAGCCTTTATTACAGTATAGAATATATTTTCTGCCTCATTCTGTGAAAAAAAGCCACATTAGATCACAAGAAAAGACAAAAAAGACGTTATTTTAAACACTCAACTGATGCTGTGCAGCAAAAACGTGTTATTAAATGTTCTCTTTTGTTGGACAACAGGTTTAGAAATGCTTCTCATTACAAGTCATTACAAGAGAAGATGTTTGGCATGTGTTACTTTTTCAAATGCATGTTATAAGCGACTCAAACTCTCAGTGTTTCCTGAAAATTATTTAAACGCAAAACCCAAAAAAAAGTAATTCACAAGCCCGTGTTGAACCATGTATGTCGTACCGAACGGTTCAATATTATATTGAGAATTGTGGCATCCCTGCTTTCCACGCAACTTCTCTTTATTTGACTCAAACCATCAGAAACGTGTCACACCCTGGACATTCCCTTTAAAAGCGTGACATAAAAAATGGGCCGCCTCCCATGCTGGGGAAGTTTGATCCGTCAGTGTAAGTCACCATGAGAGTTTGGGGCAGGAGAGGTAATTGAAGCAGCATGGGACACTTATCTGCCTCACTGGCAGTGACCTGGACAGCACAGGGGCCAAATGAGCTCTGAAGAGGGACAGTGAAAATAACCAGCAGGTCTAGAAGTTCAGTCACCATATGAGATAATGGTCAGGAAGAGAGTTGCTCTGGCAAAGTATGGATTTTGAGCTCTTCAAAAACAGCCTGTGGCGACGCGTCAAAATTCGAGATTTTGCAATTAATTTTCTTCCATTACCCAAGTTTGCACTGATACATTGTAAATTATAATTTAACCATGCACAAAGATTAATGCTTGTGTGAAACAAAACTGGCATCAATCTAAAACTGATATAATAGCATTATTATTAAATGATTTATTAATTACATGATCTTACCACCACATACATTATACGAACCACACTATAATGTAGCGCATCCAGCGGTCCAGACCTATAAGTTCTGCCGAGAGTTAAATATTAATGAAGCATTTGCAGAAGTTTCCTAAGTTTTAGTCATAGGGCCATGTACAGGAACTTAGTGCACAAGACTGTCTCAGGTCTGAGCAGTATTTAAGGCTAAGTGTAGCCTATCTCATCAATCACCGTGTTCAGGAACTCCTATATGCAAGACTTGGAAAACTTTCCTGTGTAGGTTTATTTAGATATCATTTGGTAGTAAAACATGTTGCACATTTTATTGGTGCAGAGATTAGTATGTGTATTTTGTAAAACATTTGCAATGGCTCTTTATCACCTACACAGGGGCTACTGAACAGACATTTAGAAGTTTATTTTAAAGTGCAAAGTATTGAAAAAAAATATCATGCTCTGTAAAAGCAATTTTACAACACCATTGGGTAACTGACAGTTCTACACAGACTTACAGTTTATGTGCCCACTTGATCACTTGGGCCAAATACAGGAAATATACGTCATATAAGTAGTCATGTGCAGTTGTGCATAGACCATAAGTGTGGGTATTGGGACAGGCCTATAGTTCCCATCTTTAATTGAACAGTTAGGCGTTAAATCAGGATAAGTTATAGTTAAAGGGATAGTTGACCTAAAATGATAAATCTGTCATCATTTAGTCACCCTCATGTCATTCCAAACCTGCATGACTTTCTTTCGTCTTTGGAACATAAAATCATATATCATGCAGAATGTTTGTTACAGTCTCCATTCATTTTCACAGCGCTTTTCAATTCAGTTAACGTTAATGGTGAGTGAAGCATGCCATCTCTTTATGTACAGAAATACATTTTCCACAGGTTAGACACTTGAGGCTGGGAAAAAGATCAGATGTACATTTTTGGAATGAACTATCCCTTTAAGATACAAGTAATTTTGAATGGTTCTGAGGGTAAGCTCTTCCATGATGTCATCCAGTGGAGGGCATTCTGAGGTCAAAAGCTCACCTGCACCAGGTGAGGCACATCCCTCTGACGTTACTAGCAAAACTATCGCGTGATGTCCGTCGAGTCCAGCATTTACAACTACCATTAAAATGACATTACATTATATCATTCTTAATTTCTGTTTAAAAAACTCGCAAACATTTACACCCATAGGATGCAATGGACTCAATCCTAATAAAGAAATGGCTCAGACCTAGAAGCACAACTGCAGGCATCCGACACCAGAACGAACAAATAAATAAAACCTCCTCTCGATATATATTTAGCATGCATTAACGAAAACACGACAGTAACGGTCCATTCAGATGATGTGATCACTTACCATATTGATGTTGCAGTGCAGTGATAGATCTCAACACCGGCTGACACTCTGAGCACCCCTAAGCGGAGATCCAGCGGCACGGAGCACATAAGCCTGTCTTGCGGTGCTGTTATCTGAGAGTACTGTGTTGACAGGTAAAATGAAAACCTAAACAAACATCCCACTGATCAAGCCGGGCTCCACTGTGTTTTCAACTGCAGTAGAGGTCACGCTCTCTGTGCCGAGCTGCCACTGACAGCCTGTACGGTTTAATGGCCGCAAGAGCTCCCTGATAATGAATATTTGTGTCACAGTGATATTTCGGATTGATAAACAACATGTATGCTCGTACATATCCACATTATTTAGTATATTTGAAACGATAACGTTGCATTATTGTCAGTTTTAAAACAGGCAACAATTTGGGCGACTTAGGGATCTTGCAGGGCCCCTTCACCGGAAGTAGTGAAAGGAGCACATGTGACGTTTTCCTACCGGTGTTGTTAACCCTGCTCAGGACTGAGGACTACCGATGCAAATTTACTCATAAAAAACTCATATTTGTGGTGCTGCTTAGTAAAATCTGTGGATACACTGACAGTAACTGGAGATCCATTGATAAAGTGCTTTGCAGATTTGCTAAAAAAAAAAAAACATTTATATTAATTATTTATATATATATATTTTTTTTTACCTATGCCTTTCCCCACTTTTTCTTTCCTTGTTTAATATTGCATTGTTTAACAAAATTATTCTCGGAATATGTAAACAGCCTAGGACTGAGTCACTTTTGAATAACAGTATGAAAAAGAGCATTGTGTGCAACTCGACAGTTTTGCATGGCCAAGTATTTTATTCATAAATGTAAACTATTCTTCTGGTTTCCAACAAGATTTTGAGATTGACATTATCTCTTCTAACAAAAAAAAAAAGGCTACTAAAACTTGGGAGTGTGGGCTCAAGTGTTCAAGTTTTTATATATATATACATTTCTGTGTAACTGATTTATGATTGTTGTATTTATGTGTTTATTTATTGTATGCTTCTGGTTTATTTTACTCAGTTTTAAGTTCATTACTTTACCCTATTTTCTGTATTTATTCTCTGGTGTATTTTATGTAGCCTACTTAATTATCCTGGGATTTAATAATATCCTTTTTGTGAATTGTTTTCTATAGAATGACAATTAAAAGCAAATAAATAAATAAAAAATCTCAGGTTACACCTTTTGCGATTTGAGGGTGAACAGAGCTGTAATCTATTAAATAGTCTTGAGTTGTTTTATATTTAATAGATGTAGAAAATAGTAGGCTAATAATGAAGAATGAGCAGTTGTGTCCACACTATTGAGTGGAATAGTGTAAATAGCAGTGGGTCATGCATGAATTCACCCTCACTCCCCTATGTCATTATAACGGTGTACAGTAAACAAGATCTTCTTATTTACAAAAGATCTCTGTATGCGTTTGTCTAACTGATGTCTTTAACTGTCAAATACAAATGGAATGAATGCCGTGTGGTGTGCTCTTATGCTTGCCTTTATTGTTTTATTTTATTTTATATCACACGTAAGTGTTTTATTATTCTAGTTGCTTTGTCTTCCCAGATGAAATCTGTAGCTTTTAAAACAGGACTATAATTGTCCTACTGATCAAATCACATTGCAATGCATTTATTTCATGATTTTGTTCCTATTAGTTGTCTCCATTACTTTAGAAATAGAGTGTTCTAAAAAGAGATGTTCAGTAAAAGGAGATGCTGTGTAAACATCAAACACACATTAAACTGGTGGAGTCGGTGTAAACAGTGCTTTAGTGCTTAGCATTAACAGACCATCCAGCTGATAGGGTGAAACATTTTATATTTAAATACCCCTATAAGTAGACCATGGGTGGATGACTATGAATTACAGATTTAACAATGTCTTGATAACTCCTTAGAGCAAACTGATTTTTTTTTATAGTGTTAGTTTATTAGTTTTGTTAAATTACACTCTGAATGTGCATAAATATCCTTCTTAATTTACATAGTGGTAGTCACTGTTTATTTAAAGGACAAATCTCTGATATCCTTAGTTATTTGTATTACTTTCCATGTTTGATTGAATTGAAATCAGAGTAGATGGGTCCAGGGGGCTTTGTTTGTGTGTGTGTGTGTGTGTGTGTGTGTACCTGGTATTTATCACGTTATGGGAACCAAATGTCCCCACGAGGATAGTAATACTAGTAAATTTTGACCTTGTGGGGACATTTTTGAGGTCCTCATGAGGAAACAAGCTTATAAATCATACAGAATGAGTTTTTTTGAGAAAGTAAAAATGCACAAAGTTTC